GGGTCTCACACACATACACACTCTCTTATTACTCTTTTGCCCCTGGTTCAACCCCTGAATACTCTTTCAAGACTCTTCGACTCAATTTCCAATCAAATTTGTTGTTTCAGGTTACAAATTTCTAACATTATTTTGTTAGTATATGATCTGAAGGAGTGGGAATTTATTGTTTAAAGTTTAAACGTGTGCAGGTGATCTTGGACAAACTGTATGGATGAAATCGACACTCGAACACATCTCACAATCAAATTACAATGTGTTTTTGCTTCCCGGAGATTTGTGAGAATTACGGCCATCCACCCTACTCCGTTCACCGCCTACAATGCCAGGTGGCATATGCCGTTTTATGAGAGCGAATCTACGTCTAATTTGTGCTACTCGTTTGAGGTTTCAGGCGTCCATGTCGTCATGTTGGGTTCCTATACCGATTTTGGATATGGATCGGACCAATACGATGGTTAGAGTCTAATGTGAAGAAGGTTAACCGGAGTAAAACACCATGGCTGTTTGTGATTGATCATGCTCCATGGTATGATCGATATGAGGGTATCGATGGAGGGATTACTGAAGCGAAGCAGAAGAACAAATGCGAGAGTCAATGATCAATTTCCCCAAATCGACAATGTAGGAGATAAAAAAAATTACATAAATCATTGAAAATCAAGAAAAATCACCATGGGGGACCGGACCGATATTTGAAGGTCAAGAACAAAGTAGGGGAATCTGAATCTATCAAAATACCTTAACAATTTATGGATTTAGATCCACAGATCTTTCATGGCTTCTCGACCAACTTTTGAAGCTCTGCACAGTTACCATTACCAGATCCAAAGATCTCTCTGTGCTCAAAGAAAGATTCAAATCCACCAAGAACAACCCTAAAGGACTCTCCGATCTACCTGGGATTGTATTTTCCGGTGAATTGTGCTTTACGATTTTAGCCCACCTCGTGCCACTGAACATCATGGATGGTTCGGTGGGAAGAAGATCAAGTTTTCATTAAGAAGAATGAAGAAGAAAACAATCTGATGATGATGATGTGATGATCTTGTCGATTGTAGATGATCGGAACAACAACGAAGAAGATGATGAACTCAAACAGGCCTTGATTCAATAACTCTTCGGAGATTCCACCTATTTGATCGACTCGATTGCTGTTGTTGAATTTGAAGGAAGATTGATTCATGAATTATAAGGAAAAGGCAGCCATGGTAGACCTTCAGGGTCACTTGCAGTCGAACGCAAACCAATTGATCGAGTAGCGATTGGAGAAGCAATTAAGTTCGTGACCTGTTTCTATGAAGATAAAATGGAATGGGGTAAACGGGTCGGGTGGATGTACAGGTCAATTTTCCTCAATTTTCCAATTAAGAGAGAGAGAGAGAGAGAGAGAGAGAGAGAGAGAGAGAGAGGTGGGACCCTTTAATATTAAATAATTATATATATATTTCTTTTTTTTAAAATAAGGCAAAACTTCATAAATGGTCCCTGGGTATGGAAATGACGAAAATGCCCCTCACTTAACGGTTGAAAGCTGACGGAGTTAGGCGGAAGGACTAAACATTAAAAGTTTTGAAACCACATGGACCATCCGTGAGGTTTTTGTAAATTAGGGACCAAACTTCAGATTTTGTGAAACCACAGGGACTATTTTTGAAGTTTTGTCTTTGGATAAAGCTTAGAGTAAATTACATTTTTGTCCTCTGATTTTTTCAATTTTGTTCCCGAAAGTAGAGTAAATTACACGATTCGTCCCTGGTCTATGTCTTAAATTGCATGTTTGGTCCCTATTTTCAAAAATTAACTCGGACCGTCCTTTATAAGTTTAAATCTTGCACGCTTATTCCCTGAAAGACCTGAAATGACTATTTTGCCCTTTATCTTTTCTTTTTCATTTTTTTAATATTGGTTTATTTTTTAGAAATTACAAAAATTGAATTATATGATTTTTAATTTGGTGGGTCCCACCACCTCTTATATTCCCCTCCTATCTTCCCGGCCACCCCCTTTATTCACCATACACATTTTCCGGCACCGGCACCACCACCACCACCACAACCATCACCATCCATCTCCAACCTATAGGAAAAATATTTGGCATCCACCATCCTCTACCTCCAGCGACCACCCAAAACATACAAATAAAACCTGTAAAAATTGACAAAACCTAATTCAATTTGCACAAATTGATACGAAAGGGGAAAGGGGTATTTTTTTTCTTTTCGAAATTACAGTCAAATTAAGAATGAAACTACAGTAGAAATTTCAGGAATTGTTCTAGAAATTTAAACGTATCCCAACATGTTTCATCCATGAAAAGGTTATGATAATAACCTAATTGATTCAATACATCTACTCATTCACAAAACAAGAACAAAATTGCGTGTATTTATGGTGGAACAAACAACAGAAAAGATGAAGGGTTACATATATGATAGAGGTGTGGATAAGAAACAATGTTCGATTAGTGGAAACAACGGTTCACAGGTTATGCAGATGGAGATTGCGGCGATGGTGTGATGGTATTTTCTCTCTCATTAGCTCCGTCGATGGTGGTTCGCTCAAGAGGGTGAACGACAGGTGGCCAGAGTTTCATGATGGTGCTTCACAGTCGGAAAGGGTTGCGGTCTTAATGGTCCAGATTTCTGGTGAGGTTCCAGGTTCCATTCTTCAACTGATATGCAGAGACGACTCTCTCCCTTTTTCTCCAAATCGGTGGTGTGTAGGTGTCGCACCGGAGATGGAGAAGAAGCTGAGATGGAGAAGAAGAAGCTAAGAGTTTCGGTACCACAAAGCTTGTGGGGATGAAGGGTGGTGGTTTAGGTTCTTGAAAGAAAAAAAGATGAAGAGGGAAAAAGATGTTTTACAGGGGACACGAAGAAGAAGATGGGTAGGTAATGTGAGGGTGGGCCCAATTATTTATTGAATTTTTTAAATATAATTGATAATAATAAAAATATAAAAATATATCAAAAATAAATATAAAAGGGCAAAACAGACATTTTATGTCTGGTAAATGATTTTAGGGACGAAACGTGCAACTTTTAATGATAAAAGGGACGGTCCGAATTAATTTTTGAAAGTAGGGACTAAACGTGCTTTTTGACACTTACACGAGGGACGAATCGTGTAATTTACTCCCGAAAGTATTTCCTATTAGTTTTTGTTCTTTATTTTAGGTTATGGTAACGTTTTTGTTTACGTTTTGTTCTTTATTTGAATTTTGAGGTTATAGTAATATTTTTCATTTTTTTGTCCGTGTTCCAAGATAAAGAGGTAATATCCTAATGTCATGGTTTGGTCCAAATGACTTGAGTTTTAATTGATATTTATTGAAGTTCGTAACTTCTTTTCAAAGTGGATGTTGGTTATACTTTTCTTTGTCTAAACGTTTTGAATTCATAATTTTCTATTTAGGGACCACAGTGCACATAGAAAAGATGCAAAATGTTTCTATGTTTCTCTGACTTTAGTACTCGCTAGTTGTTTGACAAAATGTCGCAAAGAAACCTTGCTTTACTTCGTTACTTTTGTTTCTTAATCCAATTTTTGTGGGGAAGTGATTCGTACACAACAGTTTTTTGCCATACACAACGATTTATGCATTATCGAATTGTACAGTACAACATTTTAAAGCACCAACTGTTGTGTATGGAAAAATTTTGTTGTGTACAAATCACTTACCATTTTTGTGTTTCAATTGTAAAAACCTTAGAAGCACCAGCCAATAATTATTTAAATATCCAGGTAACAACCACCATATCTTCAGCATCCAGATCATCTAGTAATCCGTGATCACAGGCAATTTTGAGTCTTTTTGTCTCAATGAGAGCTGAAACCGCCATTAAAGCGATGGAAATGAGGATTCCGATTCCGATCATCTGAAAGATGGCGTCGTAGATTGGAATTAGGATTATGATTGAGAGGCCGATGAAAGATTGGCGTGTTGCGGCTGGAATTTGGAAGTTTGACTACTTTTCAAACAGGTAACCCCATTGCTATAATTGTAGTTTTCTTAAAGTACAACGACTAATAAGAATATAGGTAATAACATGAAATGAAGGCATAATGCTATAAACAAAAAAAAAAAAAAAAAAAAAACTTGGAAATTAAATTATTATTTCTTGAGTCTAACCCAGGATATTTTAAATATGTATATGTCAACTAAATAATTTTAAGAGTTAAATGCAAGTCATAAATAGCAATAATGTAATTTCCTAATTTCATTGATTTAATTGTTATAGCATCATCATCCTTCCATTTCTTCCCATTACAACGTTGTACTTTAAAAAATCTATTCAATTAGTGCAATGTCACCACAACAAGAAAATAATTGAAAATACAATGTTATAATTGGGTAGATTCAACAAAGTATAATGCCTTAATAAGAAAAAAAATGAAAGTACATTGCTGTTTCTTGCAGTTATATTTAAAAAAAAAAAAAAAAAAAAACTAATCCAAGATAGATGTATCTTTACACAAAAGAACGGTGGAATTACCTGTATTGCTGAGAACCTTGATGTGGCAATATAATCATAATGAAGCATCTGTTAGACACATGGACTAAGGTCCTCAAAAAACAGAAAAAGATAAAGAAGGTAAATATGTATTGTTTTATTTAAATTGTGTATGCATCACAATTGAATTCCTTTTCATCGATTTCCATGGCACGCAGTATCACCACAAGGGCAATTGAGAATAATAGTAGTTGGCATATATTTTGGTTAGCACATAATGTCCATGTCAATAGTATAGGGACCATATAATGTTTCTACCATACTCAGATTAGATTGTTCTCCATTTTCAGAGTATTGTATCCATTCATGGAGTTTCTAATGTAATTCCAAGCTTTCAGCTCAAAAAATATAAAATATTATGGAGTCCCACGCTCAATAATAACGAGCTAAAGTAAATTTAATTATTTAGTTCCATCAATTTAACCTAGTCAAATTTGAACTAACGCCATAGTAAGCAAATCTCTCTGCATAAAACATCAAAAGTTAAAAAAACCCTTTCACGACGATTTTGATTTCGAGAGGCGAATGGTTAACGTTACTAATAACAAAATATGCAGATCGCCATAAACCGGATTTAGAACTGACGGCTGGACGACCTCTGTAGTCAACAGCTTCGTCGACAAAGTTGTTGAGCAGCGGAGTGTGGACTCCGGTGGAATAGCTGGTGGTGGCGTTGTCATCCATTTCAGTGGCACGCTTATCAACGCATTCTCGTTTGGACCTCGATTTCAATTTCAGATTTTTTTATACAGAGTAAAATACAAATGGGCCCATCATGTGTTGTTATTATACTAAAAAGTAAAAACCAAAATCCATAGGCCAAGTTTGATTTATCGCAATTTGTATCCTGCTTGTTTGATTTTTACCAATATCGTCCTAAATTTTTAAATCTAAAAAAAAAGGTCGTAGAATTAGGGTTCTAACAATTTGATAAAACCAGGAGATTCTTTGGGATGAACGAAATTCCATTGGCTTTGCTAAGATTTCATGAGTGGCTCAAATATAAGTTTATCTGAAGTAATTTGCCATTAGTAGAAACACATATACAACAATTATATTTATACATCCAATGGTCAATACAACCATTACAAATTTACAATAATGACACCATGTTTCATAATTTTTCACAGAAACCACTTATTCAGCAACATCACAAGCCTCTTTCTCGATTATAAACATAAGATCTTGCGACATATATGTACATCACAAACACCCCCACACTAATTCCCGCAAGAAGATAGTAAAAATAATCAATATGCCCTCCATTCATGTTATCACATATCCAACCATCTTCACCATCGCCACCTGTCATCTTCCCAACAATGGAGATCAGAAAGCTGCTTAAGAAGCTACCAATCCCTATGATACTGAGGTAAAGCGCTAAGCCCATGCTCTTGAGATCACTTGGCATTTGTTCATAGAAGAATTCTTGCATACCCACAATGGCAAAAACATCACCAGCTCCAGCCAATAGGTATTGAGGCAATAACCACCATATCTTCATTGGAATCGTTGCATTTGGATCATCTAATAATCCATACTCACGAGCCGTTTCGAGTCTTTTTGTCTCAACAACGGCTGCAACCACCATTGAAACAATGGAAATGAGGATTCCGATTCCGATTCTCTGAAGCATGGTTATACCTGATGGTTTCTTTGTAATGGATCGTGTAAAAGGAACCAAGAAGGTGTCATAGATGGGAATTAGAATCATAACCGAGAGACCGATGAAAGATTGTAGTGTGGCGGCTGGAATCTTGAAATTTGACCCGATTGACCTGTCCATGGTGGTGCCTTGTTTTGTAAATAAGGTGGTAGTTTGAGCAAATACAATTGCATACCCTAAACAACTAACCCATATTGGAGCTAGTCTAAGAACTGCCTTCGCTTCTTCCACTTCATCAATATTACAAACAGTTCCATCTTCATTTGATCCCTTAAACAAAGCTTTGTCCAGAAATCTGAAAAAGATATTAAGAACCCAATAAAACGACAAGGAATTCAAGGATATGGATTTCTAATTACTGTTACCTGAATTGTTGAGAATCTTGATGAGGCAAGATTCCAGAAGCTTCCTCTTCCGATGATATTCTTGAAGGTGTAGTGTTCCAATTCCTAGCTGCTTTAACAAACACGTGGCCAATTCTGAGAAAAGCACTTTTCTCCTCGGTTTTCTCTCCAAATCGATAAGTGACGGTTCCAATCAAGAATATGACGAGGGCAAAAGCCATGATGATGCAAGGAATCCCAAATCCGAGACCCCAGCTAAGATTGTCTTGAATGTAACTAACAACAAAGATTCCCACAGCTGGACCAGCGCACAATCCAAAATACCACCAATTGAAAAATGAGCTTTTGGCTTTGCGTTCTTGTGGATTGTCTGCATCAAATTGGTCAGCCCCGAAAGCTAGAACACAGGGTTTGTGGCCACCTTGGGCAATTGCGACAAGGTATAGTGAGATGAAGAACAGGATGACTTGGAGTTGAGGAGAACATGGTGAGGCACCATTGGCGGTTTCACAATTGGAAGGAATCAAAGTGGAAAAAGCCAGAAACGCAAGCGCCTGTTAATTGTAATCATATATTTTAACGTTATTAGGGTTATTTTGCATCGGAAGCCACTGGTTCGTCAGAATCCTTTCATCTACATTTCTCAAAATTCAATCTAATAATAGTTCATCAAATTCGATAACCGGTGATATCAACTGAGCAACCAATTCATGATTTATTCCTATCTCTTTAATCTAGTGATAATGGCTGATGTAGTTTTAGCACATGGTAGACAAATGTGTAGAATGATTCAAACTAAAGATGAAAAGATGCAAACCAGAACATATAGCAGAGAAGCAATGATGATCGTTAGGTATCGGCCGAGAAAAGCATCAGCAATGAAAGCGCCAAGGAGAGGAAGAAGCGACGCCGTTCCAGACCAGGCGTTGACATTCTCCGCCGCCGTAGCCGTCGATTGCCCCAAGGGACCGGTCAAGTATGTGATTAAATTTGAACTGACGCCATAATATGCAAATCTCTCCGCCACTTCAACGCCTGCATAAAACGTTAAATGCTGAAACATTTTTACTAATTTTAGAATATTGCCGAGAGACTTGACGTTACGTTACCGATGATAAAATATGCAGATCGCCAGCAACCGGATTTGGATCTGAGAACCGGACGCCCTCTGTAGTCGACAGCGCCGTCGACGAAGTTGTTGAGTAGCGGTGAGTCAATCGCGACGGGGTGGGTGGCGGTGCCATTGTCAACCATATCAACCGCTTCAAACTTGTCAACTTATTCCGGTTGTTGTTTGTTACTCAATGTCTACAACATGGCTGTGTAGTCGTTGCTCTATCAATTGCATATTTTGCGTAAAAGTTAAAACTCTATATAAAGTAGATAAGATTATAAAATTTTCAAACATGGGTGTGAGTTGTTTAACAAATAACGTAAACGGGTGGGTCCTGAATTTAGCTAATTTTTGTGATTGTATATCCTTAAAAAAGTATGGTGTAAATTTGGTCTTATTCCAGGGTTCGTTATCAATTCCGAATAGGCGAATACCCATTCCAAATAAAATTATTATAATTACCTTTTTGTATTTTTTTTATAAAGATTGTCGTTATCGCTAAAACATCTTTAAACTCATCAAGAATAATTCAATGACTTCAAAGAATGCAATGTGTATGTTTCTAATTTCTAATACCTAAATCATTTCAAAATCCAAAACATCTACAACTCAAATATATGGAATACCAATATAAAAGTACCACATAGCACAATAATACTTGAAAGATGCAAATGTTAGAAACAGTGACTC